CAACTCCATCGTAATCAGCGTAAGAAAATCTATCGACTGAGGCCAAAGCCAAGTCGATATCTCGCAAAAAAATTTGAATTTTTAAACGCCGATTACGGCGAAACTAAAGGAGATAGCACAAAGTGCTTGGCAAATTCGTAATCAGCGCGTCAAAATCTATCGGATAAGATAGGTTTAAATTAAATCTGAGACATGTTCAAAAACACTAGTTTTTAATGGGGGTTAGTTTCGTAAAATAAACGAGTTTAAAATTTTAGAAATTTGACAATTGTACAAACCAGGTCACGTTAAGTTATCCCAAGTCAGGTCATATTACATAAACCCCCATTTTTTTTTACGATCGAACTTTGAAACTATTATAGTTTTATTTACAATCAAAATTAAAACTTACCACTAGTTTTTGGTCGGGCAAAAATTTCATAAATTTCTCAATTTTTAGAACTTTCAGAGTTGTTCGATGTTTATAAAATTTATTGACTACATTGAGAAAAATCACGAGAGTCTAATGCTTAATCGTCGACACCGAAAAAATATTGTTCTGACTTAAATTAATTCAAAATCTCCTTTTTTAGTCAACCAAAAAATCTGAAATTATGGAATTCTTTACTTCATTCATGACCCTACTCTATGACTGACGTAAAATAAGTTGCATTGCATAAAAAACATTTTAGGGGTGGGTTTTTCAAACTAAAAATAACCCTATCGTGTCACCCCTCATACATCTCAGCTGAAAGCATAGATTTTAAAAATATAAAATGAAGTAGGTATTTTGATTTTCCTAAGCGAGATAAAAAAATGACTATCGCCAAAATCAAATTTGACCAAACCATTCGATAGAACTTTTTATTGCGCACCTTTTTTGACATAGTTCGTTTTTACGTGCGACGCATACTTTTCGAGATATTCATGTTCAAAATTTACCGATTTAAATTTGCGCGCTTCATTGCAATTTGTTAAGGTTGGTAATAGTCGGCATACATACACACACGTCTGTATGTGTAGTTGCATAAGTTTTAAGGGTTTAGAATCCGGTTTATGGCAATTAAAACTAAATTAGTAGTAATAATAGTATTTTTACATTTATTTTACCAATTTTTCTGACAATTATTTATTTAACTTTTGACTTTAATTTCTGTTACTTGTGTGTACTTCTAACTTTTATCCAACTCAATACTATTATATTCTTCAGTAATGTTTGTTGCCTATACTTCATAGTGAAATTTTTCTTTTTTTAAGTTTCACCGCAAATACCACATGAAATCGCGTTCTGACAATGAACCACACATATTTGCCGTTGCTGATAGTGCTTATCAGAACGCACTTCATCACCACATTTGCCAGAAAATCGTGTTATCGGGAGAAAGTGGTTCTGGAAAAACGACAAATTTTTTCCACTTGATAAACCATCTACTTTTTCTTGGTCAAAATGACAACATTAATCTCAGAAGAATTAAAAATGCTGCTCAATTAATTAATTCTTTAACAACCGCTGCGACGCCTGTCAATAAATATTCCACTAGATGCGTGTTCAAAATCGATGTTAAATATGGAAACACGGGAAAAGTCAGTGGTGCCGTTTTCAACATTTTTCAGTTAGAGAAATGGAGAATTTCTTGTAATAGCAGGTGGGGACATTGCTACCAAAAATCGATAAAGTTCTAGTCAAATTTTTACAGCACGCAAGGCACGTTTTATTTTTTATATTCGGTGTTCGAAGGACTGCAAACAAATCAAAAATTGGAGAAATATTTATTAAATTCCGCTTTTGAGTATAAATATTTGAAGAAATACCAAGACACCAAAAATGATCATTTAATAAACTTTGAACAGATATTAAAAATTTTTGAAGATTTTGAGTTAAACGCTTCAGAAGTAGATACGATATTATCCATAATGTCATCCATCTTAATTTTGGGTGAAATGTCTTTCAAAAACCTCGAAACCCAATTGGAAAACGAAGATAAAGAATGTATTGAAAAAATTGCTCAGTTACTACAAATCGATCCTTGCAAATTTCATTGGGCTTTGACCAATTATTGCCTAATCAAGAGAGATGTTATAATAAAAAGAAAAAATACCGAAGACGATGCAAAAAGTATACGAGACGTATTCGTCAATAATTTATATTTAAGACTAGTTGATTACATTGTTAATACTATTAACAACAGATTGTCTGCAGGACGAAAAATATTGTAATTTATCACAACTCATTTTGATGTTTTATAATTATTGTTATTTCAGTGGCGAAACATATTCGATTCAAATCCTTGATTATTTCGGCTTTGAATGTTTCAACGAGAATTTTTTATCACAGTTATTCGTCAATTCTTTTAACGAACAAATGCATTATTACTACACACAAAGAAACTTTTTTTGGGAATATTTAGACATGAAGGACGAGGATTTAAGTTATGACATTTCTTCACTTTATTATGACAACAAATTGTGTCTTGATGAATTATTGGGTAAATCAGAAGGTGTCTTTTCTGTCATAGACGAAGCTTCTAAAATGAACCAGAATGCAAAATACGTTATTAATTTTATCGAAAACTGTGAAAAAAAGTTTGTAAAAGTCGTGGGAAAATTGGAATTTTCAGTGGCCCATTATACTGGAAAAGTAACTTACACTGCATGTGATATATGTGATAAAAATCGAGATTTTCTCCCGGTTGAAGTGATTGAAACTCTTCGTTTGTCTGACAATTCAATTGTAAGGTCACTTTTCACAAATAAACTCAACAAAACTGGAAATTTAATTGTTTTAAATGGGGCCACTGATAAATCAAAATATAAATTTGCTCCGAAAAAGCCAACACTTAATCAATATTCTCAGATTAAGCACTTGACTACAAGCGTGAGGAAATTTAAGGCGCTTAGTGTGGACTTACTCAAAGATTTGTCAAAAGGATCTACTCATTTCATTCGTTGTGTAAGACCAAACATGCATCAGAATCGAAAAAATTTCGACTGTGGATTAGTTAAGCAACAAATCCGGGCCCTAGAAGTAGTCGAAACTGCAAAATTGAGGCAAAATGGTTATCCTTACCGGATTTCTTTCCACGAGTTTTTGAGGAGATATAAATTTCTTGCGTTTGACTTCAACGAAAACGTTGAAACTAACAGGGAAAACTGTCGGCTGCTTTTGATTCGTCTTGGAGTGGAAGGCTGGGAGATTGGAAAATCAAAAGTTTTTCTCAAGTATTACGTTGAAGAATATCTGTCTAGATTATTTGAAACGCAAGTTAAAAAAATTACAAAAATACAAAGCATATTGCGAAGATTTTTGGCCAAATGTTTGGTTACTAAACGACTCCAAGACAAAGAAAAAAAATGCTGTAAGAAAATTAGATTTTTGAATGGTTAGTATTTGGTAAAAAGGCGTTTCAGGCTTAGAATATGTGGAAACGAGGAAATACAAAATGAGTGCAGAAGAGGCTGCGACCATTATTCAGAAAGGTTTGTAAATTAATTGAATTAAAAATCACTGTTTTTTAGCTTACAGAGAATCAAATGTGAAAAAATCTTACCAAGAGTTTGCCGAGGATTACAAAATTTTAGACGAAGAAACGTGCAATTTTATTAGAAAATTTGCCCTCAAATGGAAAAATAATACAATCTTTCGTATTTTACTTCTGTATAAATCTGTAAGATTTCAGGATTGTTTTAATTTTTCCCAACAGGTGAGACAAGTTGTATTATTACATTAAATACAATTACAATTTTTAAGGTTCATTTGTATAACATCGGCACTTTTTATGGACTTGAAGAGATTAATCAAGCAATTTCGTTAGATAATATCGATTCAAAAGCAAACATTTCCGTTTGGTTGGGAGAAAATTCAGTGGCTTTGCAAAAAATGCCTTTTCGCCTAGATGAAATACCCTTTTATGACACCGGCGAAATGTCAAATTTAGTACTCAATTACGAGTGATTTTTCAGGTCGTCTATTTCATTTTTTTAATTGTGTCTTTTAGATTGTTGGAGGAAAAAAACGATTCCTGGGATTTACCATATCGTTGGAGAAATTTGATTTTTTCGAAATGTGACGATGCCACACAAACTAAAAGTCCCACTGCTTTACCATTTGCGCGAGATTCGACACAACAAGAAGAAAATAAAAACGATACAAATGCTGAAAGCAATGTAGAGGAAACGGAAACGAAAAATTTGTTTAAAAACGAGGAGAAAGTAAATTTCAATACAAAGCTAGCTAATGAAGATTTCGATTATATAAAATCACCGTCGACAAAAAAAGTTAAGAGGGTAGATCCTGTAATGGAATTGAAGCAAATGGGTCTAAAAAACGCGTCAGAAAATGAACCACCCTTTAATTTTCAAGGAATGCTAAGAAAAACTAATTTTAAGAAAGAAGTTAAAATGGAAGAGAATAACACAAAAATACTTCCGTATTCCTTAAGAAAAACTCCAATAAATGGTAAAAGTTACGAAAGCGCTGAAGCCAAAATTGCCCAGAATGGTATTAAAATTACCAATAATGTAGACATTATTCAATGCGACAAGAAAAAGGTTAAAATACAATTAGCGCCAGGCATTGTTTTAGAAGGTTTTGAAGAAGAAATTTGATTTTTTTTTTTAATTTTCTGTACTATAATAAATAGTTTATACTAAATTATACATATTATATTTAAAAACTGTAACTTACTTCTTACAAATAAACACATGTTTAAATAGTGATCATGAATATTACAAATAAATAAAATCCAACAAAAAATGTAGGCTTCATTAATTAAATGATAACAATTTAATTGAGTTATTTGTTTAATTTAGTTACATATAGAAGCCGTTTACCTAATCCTAAATTATAATTTTATTATTTTTCCATTTTCCAAAGTGTATGTGTGTGAGTAGTTAAATTTAATGCATCTTGGAGGTATACAGGGTGTCCCAGCGAGTTGAAAAAGTCCAGTAAGCTTTAAATGGTACAATTAAAAAAAAAATAAGACATTGATAGATACTAATCTTGAGCATCGCCTAAAATTATTTTCAACTATACAGCGTGTCTCAAAAATAAGTTACAATATAAACTTGTGTTTTTTGGATGTAGATTATTATGACAATGTTTTTAAGCTAAACTTTTATTGGTCGATTTTGCTAAGTTTTTTGACGAAAACATGCACTTTTTAAAAATTTATTACACAAAAACTGAGACATCTAGAAATATTTTTTTTATTACCCCAAAGAAGAAGGTACTGTAACATTTTTTTAGTGTATTGCATTTGCAAAGATAAAAAAATGAAGGCGTTTGTTAAAAGTTCAATATCTTAAAAAAATTAAATGGGACTCCCTATTTATTGTGTTTGCATTTAAAAGATTATTAAATTGTCTTTCTAAAATTATTTACTTTTAGGTGTTTATAATCAATAACTAAAAAGATATTTAACGTTAAACATTAAAAAAAATAATTAGTAATTACTATTGTTTGAGTAGCCAAAAAATGCACAGTTGCACAAGAGATGGAAAAAATATTACTTAATAATCACATTTGTGTTAAACTGAATCTATTATTCATTATTTTTACAATAAAATAATTCGAATTCCAGTATTTATAACGACTTTTACAATCTCTGGATAAATCAACGGATAAATTGCTCAGATATTAATAGGCATTGTTGCTACAATTAATATTGAATGTTAAATTTCTTTTTATTTATCAATTCTAGACTCTTAAAAGCTATTTTTAGATAGACAATTTATCAATCTATTAGATGCAAAAATAAAAAATAGGGTGTACTATTTATATTTTTTAAGTTATTTATTTACTTTTAACAAACTTCTTAATTTATTAATTTTTACAAATGCAAAACACTAATAAATTGCTACAGCTTTAAATTCTGTACTTTCTTCTTTGCAGAAGTAAGAAAAAATTTGTTCTACCTGTTTTAGTTTTTGTGTAATAATTTTTTTAAAAGTGCATGTTTTCGTCAAAAAAAACGTCTTTTTTCTAAAACTAAGCAAAATCGACTAACTAATAAAAGTTTAGCGTTTGTATCGTAACTTATTTTTGAGACATGCTGTATGGTTGAAAATAATTTTAGGTGATGCACTAGATTAGTTTCTATCAATGTCCTATACAATTGGACTTTTCCAACTCGCTGTAACACCCTGTATACATAACAATTTTTTTTAACATAAAAATTTTTCGAACAAGTACATTCAGTTATGTATATTCGTTTCAGTATAAAGAGGATTTGCAAAAGTAGATGTAGCTTGTTTATAAAGAGGATTGTCGTTTCTGTGCCACTGCATTTTTTTTCTTTCGTTTTCAAACTTTGCATACTCTTTTCGGTCATGAACGGTGGTGCATAACTTCCAAATAAATAATAAAATCAATCCTGCCATTAGAACTGATCCAATAACACCCAAGATCCAAGCTGCGAATAGAACGAAATAAATAAGTAGGTAATACAGAGTGATTATAAATGATTTTCATCTAGCCAGATTTGGAATTTTTTTGCATGTAACTTTATTTGTGCCGCTCGACTTTTTTGAAAGCTCTAGTTCTGTCATTAATTTTTTTCAACTAATTTCCAATAAGAATTGATAATAATGTTTACTTTGGAATAAAACAAGTTTATATTTGAAGTCTATTTTGGGATTTTTTAATTTTGAGATAAAACAAGTAGGGGTACCCCTATTTTCGTAAAGCGGCATTTTTTATTTTACATGGAAAATTCACAGCTGGCTAGATTTGTATAAATCAACAATCATTAGTACCTACCTAAAAGGTTAGGTGGTCCTCGACAGACTTTTTCTTTTTCAACTACTACTTTCAATGTTTTTTCGGTAATGTACTCATATTGAAAAGCAAAAGTACAGTCATTATCATCAACCAAAGTACAAGTTTTGACTTGACTATCTTGACTATTTTCCAATTTGTCAACAGCTTCGCTCTGGAAAAACGTACAGTTGATTCGACACTCTTCCTCGTTGAAAATTCCACTCTTGTAAGTTAGACATTCAACACAAGAGCGCAATTCTTCACATCTCTGGCCTTCACAGGTTGGACATTCGTCGCAATATTTCCCCGAATATCTCACTTCCTCGTCAAAACACTCGCATTTGCCACAGTTGCAACGTCCATGGCCGTTGCAAACGAGATTGTTATCCGGTTTAATGCAGTTGTTGTCGTTGTCTGGACACTCACATGCATCTCCGGTCCATCCAGCGTTGCACTTGCAAATCCCCCCGCATTCGCAGGAGCCCCTCTGCGAGCACAGCCTCCCATTCACCCTTTTGCAACTGTAGTTATCGCAGTCGCAGTATTTACCGAAAATTTTCTCGTCAGGATTGCTACGTTGGTTGCATTGGCATTGACCGCATCTGCAAAAACCCAAACCTGAGCAAATTCTCGTGTCATTTTTGCTGATTTTGCAGAGGGAGATGTCAGCAGAATCCGAGGTTTCCCTGCTACACTCGCAGGTTTTTCCAAAGAAGCCTGGGTTGCAGTCGCAAACACCGCAACGGAGGGCTCCAGAATTCGAGCAATTTTCCGAATTTGATGCTTGAGAAGTGCAATCACAGTCGCAGAGGACTTCTAAGTCTATGACAATGCTCTCATCTAGCGCTTCTGGTTTAATTGTTATTATGTGATTGTTTGACCCTTTGGTGCATTGCAATGGTTTTATTATGGCAGTGAAGTTGACAATTTCGCCTATGTGGATGTTGGTGCACCCGTTTATTTTGGGATGAGAACAAGTCGAGGTTATTTTTACTTCAATGTCACTTGAACTGTTTGAAGATATTGTTACGGAATCAACAATTTTCTACAAGAATGTTAATGATGAAATGAAGAAAACACATATAATGTGGGTCAGAACTCGCGCCCCAGAGAAAAATTTCATGTAAAATAATATACCAAGAACATGGAAAAAATGTTTAAAAAATTATAGGTGTTAAAATTAAGCTAAAAAAATAATAGTAATAACTTTTAACAATATTTAGAATTTCATATTTGAAGAGCAGACTTTCAAAATGCAGTTTGTCCATGTTTTTATGAATTGAGATAAAGGTTTTTAATTTTTTTTGTAAAATGCCTAAGCACTCCAGCCGTAAAATTAGTGGCCAATTTGTACATTTTTTCACATTTATTGTCACTAATATAATACATTAAAATTATTTTTTAAAAGGACAATTTTTGTTCCCTCCTGCAAAAATGCAAATTTGATAAAACTGCTTTTTGAAAGTCATTTATTCTAATCTTTTTTAGTAACGTTGTATTCGTTAAAATCATTTTTAATGTCAAAGATGTCTTAAATTTTCTATTTTTCTATTTTCCCCGTCGTGAAAATGGATTAAATTCATCGTTTATGTTATTCTATTTTTATTTAGTTTTTTCATTTTTGAAATTAATTCAAAGTGAAAAAGTCCTTGAAAAATTTTTTTTTTAATATCCCAAAAACTTCAAAACGACAAAATGTTTCTAGTCTAGAAATCTTTTAGCAAAAAATTTTCTGGGCTACGGTTATTACGTAATCCTAAGAAAGAGTACGAGAAAAAAAATGTATTTTTTATTTTGGGAATTTTTATTAATTAAATCAATAGATGAGCCGGATAGCTTGTTCATTCAACTTCAATTTGCTTTTTTATGATCTCTTTACATCGATTTGTCGAAGAGTTATTTGACTTTCAATGAAAAAGGATCTTTTTGTCTTTGATCATCAATATCTCAGACAGTTTTAAAACTAGAATAAATTTTTTGCAAGATACGATTTTTTGAAAAAAAAATTTACTTGCAACATTGATTTAAAGAAAAGAAAAAAGAGTAACTTTTTGCGTTATTTTAGTAAATCTACCGCGTATTAACGAATATTGATGGGGAGACTATATACAGGGTGTCTCAGCGAGTTGAAAAAGTCCATTAGTGACCTTTAAATAGTAAAATTAAAAAAAATATATATAAGACTGATAGATCTAGTCCATCGCCTAAAATTATTTTCAATTATACAGCGTGTCTCAAAAATAAATTACAATACAAACTTGTGTTTTTTTAAATGAAACACTATATGTTTTTGGATGTAGATTTTTATCCTAGTGTTTTTAAGGTAAACATTTATTGGTCGATTTTACTTAGTTTTAAAAATAAGACACATTTTTGACAAAAATATGCACCTTTTAAAAATTTATTACATAAAAACATTTAAAAATATTTTTTTTACTACCGCAAAGAAGAGGGTACAAGCTATAAGGTTGTAATTTTTTTTAGTGTGTGGCATTTGCAAAGATAAAAAAATGAAGGCGTTTGTTAAAAGTTCAATAACTTAAGAAATTTAAATGGAATATTCTATTTATTGTTTTTGCATTTAGAAGATTATTAAATTGTCTTTCTAAAATACTTTTAGGTGTTTATAATGAATAACTAAAAAGATATTTAACGTTAAACATTAAAAAAATAATTACTATTGTATTCAGTAGCCAAAAAGTGCCCAAGAGATGGAAAAAATATCACTTAATAATTAGTTGTTTCTAAACATTGTGGAATCGTCATCAAAATGCAAAAAAAACTATTTTTTTCACATTTTCCATATTAAAGTTGAAAAAAAAATATTTCGAAATTTTTTTTTTAGATATTTTTGAAAATGTAAAAAAATCAAATACCAATATACCAATTTTTGAGACTATTTATTTAGCTTTTGCATACCCTAATTTTACCTTCTCAAATTATTTGCACTAATAAAAAGTTGATACCCCAAAAGCTGCATTTGGCACTAGGTTTACGAATTAAAAAAAGTTTTTTTTTAATTGTTTTCGATTTTTTTTAATGTAACAGTAGCCTATTATTTTTCAAAACTCAACAACTTGAAGCATTTTGCAACTTTGAACATGTACTATTTTATTTACACTTTTTATTGCATATGTTATTATTTATTGAATTTTCTTTTGTACCAAGTATACAAAAAATTATATTGTTTTTAAATTTTATAAATATTAGATACAATAAATTCAGCAAACATAGGGAAGAAAAACTCGTTTTTTCGTGTAATTTTTCTGCAATTTTGTGTTTATGCACCCATTGAAAATATGAAAAGTCGGCGCCCATGTTTTTTTATAATTATTTAGTAAAAGTACAAAAATTTTGTCAATAAAAGCCACAAATAACATTAAATAGAGTTACAATCTCTTCCAGAAGCCTAAAAATTATTTTTCCAACAAAAATAAATATAGTCAAAGTGCAAATTTTTTTATAGAGAGAATTTTTTTAACATTTTTCCATGTTCCTAGTATCTTACCTTACAAGCTATTTTCCTCTGGGGCGCGAGTTCTGGCGCACCCTATATTTCTTACATTATAATTGTCCAACACCAAATTAATGACGTTTTCCGACTTTTCATCTAAAACCCCAATATTGGAATTTTCGATAGATTCGGAAAGTTGTTTATAAATGTTTACAACTCGTTTTTTATTGACAATAGCAAAAACTATATTTATGTTATTTTCTTTAGCTACATGATTTATTTGCGACACCGATGGATAGTCAAACGCCAGGTCATGAGTGTAACTATTGTCTTTCATGTAGCATTGGGCGTTATTGGGTTCCACAATTCCGGCTAATTTTCCATCTCCGGCAATGTGAAACTCCGCATCAGTGGAGAAAACAATTAGATGTCTTGCTTGAGTTCGCCAACCGATGCTGTTTTTGCATACAATTGCTTGCATGAGTGCATCAAATCCGCCTTCGGGGGAATCTAAATTACCTGAAACTCGGGCTTGAAACACTTGTTCCGAAAACTTTCGATAATCTTCGGTCAGAGAAATGTGGTTTTTGAAACTGTATGGGGAAACACAAATCACCGTTTTGCCGTTTTTGTTTAACTTACAGGGAGTTTTTAATCTAAAATTTCAAGTTGTTAGAGAAAAGGTTAAATACAGAACTTGCGCCCCAGAGAAAATTTTCAAAAAGGTAAGACACCAGGAACATGAAAATAATTCTATCTGTCAAAAAATTTTGAAATTTGACATTTTTTTACATCTATTTAATGATACTGATGTTTTTTTACAATTATTTAGTAAAGGGACAAAAATTTTGCCAATAAAAGCCACAAACAACATTGAACAGAGTTACAATTTAGGATACAGCTTCCTTGTTTCCTCTTTTAATAGCCTATAGCAAAAAAACTTTGAAAATTATTTTTCCAACAGAAATAAATAGAGTCAAAGTGTAAAATTTGAACCCTCATTCATATACCTTCGAAATTTTATAGATAAAATTTTTTTAACATTTTTTCCATGTTCCTGGTATCTTACCTTATATGGCATTTTTCTCTGGGGCACTCTGTATGTTTGAAAGCGTACTTTTGTGGTACTGTGCTCACGAAAGGTAAGTCAACTTTATCAACGAAACTACCAAAACCTAAACGGAAATTGTTGGTAATGTTCATCATCGTTTTGGCTAGCTTATCTCCAAGTTTAGCAAGCTTTTCTCTGTGATCCTCCATTGAAGCTGAAAGATCCATTATGTAATATAAATCCACTGGATAGTTTTCGGCTTGGGCGTATTGAAAAGGTAGAGAAAACTCTTCTCCTTTCCTTAATTTTAGTTTGATTTTTTGGGGTCTAATTTGAACAGCTTCTCCATTTTTCGTGTTTGAAAACGGTTTGTCTTCCAAAATCGTTATTTCTCTCCTCGGATTTACGACATGCTCTTTATCACACAAATTATCTCCGATTTGATTTTTGTGAATGCAATGTATTTCGGATTTCTAGAATTCGTACATTAATAATAATGTAATCTTGAAAAATAATTTATTAAAACTTACTGGTTTGATGCACCAAACACAATCCGGTTCTCGTATACACACATCGCAAGTGTCCTTTGATCGGCAATTATTATTTATTCCATTTTCACCCAATGTAAAAACAACAAAAAGAGAAAAAAATAATGTTCTACAAGCAAGCATGATAACAAGAATAATGACGCTGAAAGGAAAGAGCTGAGATAACGAACTATGGGTAAAACCAAATGTCTGACTCAGATTGCAACCAAGCGCTTCCGTCGCTTCGGGCTTGGATTTTAAATATTTGTGTTTGAAAATCAAATAAATAGTTTCAATTCCAGTGAAGTAATAGAAGTTTATTACACAAGTAAAGAAAAGTTGTTCATTATTTTGAGTGTTCTTGAAACGAGTTTTCAAGGAATAATGAGCAGATAATGCCAACTTTTCTTTACGTGTATAAAGCCTACAACGTTTTCATTTATAGGTAAAAAAATAACTTAAAAAATGTAAATGAAACACCCTATTTTTTATTTTTGCATCTAATAGATTGATAGATCTAAAAAATCTAAAAAAAATAAACTTTTAATGTCTAGAATTGATAAATGAAAAGATATTTAACATTCAATATTAATTGTAGCAACAATGCCTATCAATTGTTGATACTATGGCAATCATATCCTGAGATTGTAAAAGTCGTTATAAATACTGAAATTCGAATTATTTTATTGTAAAAATAAAGAATAATGGATTCAGTTTAACACAAATGTGATTATTAAGTGATATTTCTTCCATCTCTTGTGCAACTGTGCACTTTTTGGCAACTGAAAAAATAGTATAGCAGATGTTAAACTATTTCTTTAAAAACTCTTTTGAGTAGATAAAGTAACACTTTAACAGTAAGGGTTGTTTTTGCTTTATGTGAAACGAGCAAATCTGTAGTTAAAACTTCATTATTCTGACTCAGTGGAAAAAAAAGTTATTTTTTTCTTACTTTTGGACTTGTAATAATAATCTTTCTTTGCTTTTCAAGTTCCAACACGATGTCACTTTGACAATTAATTAATTAATTGAATAATGATTGTTTTTGTTAAAAATGACTGTTTTTTTAGAAGCTGTTTTTTTGACTTGCCATTTATTAAAATTATGTTTTTTACAAACATTTTTGTTATTTAACTTACGTTAACTATCTGTCAAAACGACATCGTTGTCAAAAAAATAAAACGCCAATGTGGGATTTAAAACGCAGAGAAAAAATTACACTAGTTTACACGATTTTAATACCTTAAATTTCTTATAGATTTTGAGGCACTGAGTTAAAAAAAAACTATTTAAAAAAATCCACCACGTTACGTTTAAGAAATATGTAATTAACAAAAATACAAAAACCGCCAAAAAACATATTAAAAGTGAGTTATTTTACTTGGTTTTATTATACTTTTTGGATCAGTTTTCTTTATAACAATCCAACAGTAATCTACTAACATATTTTCATCCCAAAAACCTTCGTGTCGATCTTTGAAAACCCTTCAGATCTTGATTAAAACTCTCGTCTTGTTTGTCACTCATGCTCCTTAAATTTTTAGAAAAAAAGTCCAAATGCGAGTGAAATGTTTTCATTTAGACCCTTATAGTAATAATTTTGCAATAATTCAGCAACAATTTGAATTTAAATAAATTTTAAATCGGAGGCATTTGTGCAGAAAGCAGGAAAATTATCGTCTGTAACAAAAAAGTGTGACGTGATAGAAAAATTTAAGAATTATTTTTGTTTAATTAAAGGTAAGTTAACATATAAATAATAATTTGATTAAAGATCGTATTGTTTGTAGACTATAGTGTTATTAGCGCAAAATCAAGAGAAAAATTAAATTTTCTTTCCACTGAGTGAAAAATAATGAACTTTTAAAATTACAGACTTACTGGTTTCAGGTGAAGCAAAAAATGTTTTTCTTTGGCAGTGTTGGCGTAAAATAAAAAAATCCGGGAACATACTGTATAATACAAGTTATTATTATTATTACGGCATTAAATTTACCACTTTGGGTTTTTTGCTTTGTTTAGAAGTAATAAAAATAAATATAAAAACGGAAGAAAGTAGTTATTTGTTAATAAAATTAAAAGTAAATCACAAAATTTTGTTAAGGTAATGAAATACATGGGCATGCATTTTTTCTCTAAAATTAGCTTAGTGTCATTTTGGAAATTATAATAATCACCATTTAATAATCTATACGCAATGAACAAATTTTCAGAAAAAGACCTGAAGACCTGCTAGTTAGCCGGAAACACTATTGCAACAAAGCGCAGTGTTAGCAGAAAGTTAAACTGGTGAATAGTTTTTTCCCTGGGTGTACCTTCTTTGCGGTAGTAAAAAAATATTTCTAGATCTTAGTCTAGTCAGTCTTCTAGTCTTAGTTTTTGTGTATTAAATTTTTAAAAAGTGCATGTTTTCGTCAAAAAACCGTCTTATTTTTAAAACTAAGCAAAATCAACCAATAGAAGTTTGTCCTAAAAATCTACATCCAAAAACGCTAAGAAACATATGGTGTTTCATTTAAAAACACACAAGTTTGTATTGTAACTTATTTTAGGGACACGCTGTATAGTTAAAAATAATTTTAGGCGATAGATTAGATTAGTATCTATCAATGTCCAATATAATTTTTTTTAATTTTACTATTTAAAGATCAGTAATAGACTTTTTCAAGAGACACCCTGTATGTGCAGTTATTTTTTTTGTTAATTCTAGTTTTGTTGTTTGTTTAAGAAATTAAAGCAATTTAAATGTAGGTTAATCATTTATAATTTATTTTTCAGTACACGTTACAATAATACACATCATTCGTCTAAATTCCCGGTGATATTGTAAATCCAGTTAAGATAAGGAAACACTCTCATATATCCTGAAGGATCCAAACTTTCACATCCTCGACTGCTAATGAAACTAAAGACTCCCACAACAATTGGATGCCGACCATTTAAATAGTAGATTAGTGGACTTCCACTATCACCCTTAAATTTTTTTTCAAAAATTTCTTGTATTCAATAATAGTTACATTACCGTGCATGGACCCTCATTATAAACCCCATAAACGCAAATCACATTTTCCGTTACGTGTTGACCAAAAGAAATTCTACATAAATCGTTAGATATGGTAACTAAATTGACATAATTCAAGTGACCAACAGGAGCAGGTTCGTCTGCAAAAAAATTAAAACATTTGGAGGGCTAAAATTTTTTTTTCTAACTCACAGTCACTAACTTGGCCCCAACCAATTGCAGTGACACTCACATTTGAACCATATACCATCACAGGTAAATAAATCTTCCCGATATAATCTAAAAAACACTCACTCAAAACCACTTGTAATTAAAATTATGTATCTACTCACCATTAAACTTAATATTTTGACGAAGCTTTATCAAAGCGATGTTATTATCTAAACTAGTTCTGTTGAATTCAGGATGTAGAAAATAATTTGTAGTACTGACATTTATCCTGTTTGGGTCATCGTCATAGAGGGAGTTTGACCCAAGAGCAATACTAAATTCAGTGCCACTGAAACCAAAGTTATTGATTTTGCTCAATTGAATAAACAATTTTACTTTTCCACACAATGTCCCGCTGTTAGAATCCAACGCGTGCTTAAAAGAACTCCTTCACAAAACACCACACTGTTGAAAGTTTTCGTAAATATCGCAGCTGCAAACGGAAATTGACCCGCTCGTGCTTGATTACCCCCAATTATACGAATATCTAAACCAAAAATTAGATTTGAGTTTTTTTTTTAACATTCACTTACCTGAATTTTCGCTAATTGCTAATGCTTGTTTTATGCAACCTGAGAGACATATCAATGACCATAAAAGTTTCATTTTGTTTTATTTGAAAGTTTGAATTGACTTGTTAACTTAGTTATGTAGTATTTTAAACGTAAGTACCTATGGTTATCTTTTCTATTCATAATGTAGATTGTAACGAATGATTAGCTTTTTAAGATGGATTACTAGTGGAAACAAAAGATTTGATTAGTCAGAAGGCTTCCTGTATTTATGTTTCTGTTGGGCTTTGTTAGAAAAGAGAAATATTTCGAGTCTAGATTAGATAATTTTAGGAGAAATGCGTCAAGTAGGAAAGTTACTCAAGTCAAATATCTTAAAATGCGATTTTTTCAATTAAACTCTTATTTAAAATGAAGGCTTACCTATTATAGAAAATAAAACATATGTTTACTTATGTCTAGAAATTTAAATTTTTAATAATGTTATACAGGTTGACTCAAAACAACCGTAGTTGGGTGGTTTTTAGAACTATTTTATTACTCTCAAAATTTCAAAAAATCACTAATTCTCCTTCAAATATGCAACTTTTGTATTAAATTTTATTAAGTACGGTGGAAATAATAAGAAAACAATGAATAAATCTTAATCAGTCCAGTTCTGTTGTGCTTTGTTAGAAAAGAGAAATATTTCGTGTCTAGATTAGATAATTTTATAGGAGAAATGCGTCAAGTAGGAAAGTTGCGCAAGTTAACAAAATTAAAAACAGATATTAGAATAATAAAATTTACTATAGAACTCAAAGTCAATATGTAAAAGTAATTGTTGATTTATTTGTGGAGATTGGGAATAATTGCAAAATTGAAAAAATAAAGCAATTTGAGCTATTTTCAATCCAATTTTGCTCGATTCAAAGTATCTTATAAAAATAATTGCTTAAAACTTAAAACCCAATTTCAGGCAAAATTGAAGCATTTTGTTCTATTTGCAATAGATTTGGCTCAATTTTAAACCGGAAATCAACCTGAATCAAAGAATTTCAACAAAATAAATGCTTAAATAACAGTTTTCTTCAAAAATAAAGCAATTTGACCTATTTCCAATCTAATTTTGATCGATTTTACCACAAAAATCATTCAAAATTAATAAATTTTATAAAAATAATTGCTTAAACTCTAATTTTAGGCCGAAATGAAGCAATTTGTGATATTTCCAATCGATTTGACTCAATTTTAAACCGGAAATCAACCTGAATCAAAGAATTTCAACAAAATAAATGCTTAAATAACAGTTTTCTTCAAAAATAAAGCAAGTTAAGCTATTTCCAATCTAATTTTGCTCGATTTTAACACAAAAATCATTCTAAATCTATAAATTTTATAAAAATAATTGCTTAAAATCCAATTTTATGCCCAAATAAAAGCATCCTGAATCAAAATATTTCAACAAAATAAATGCTTAAATAACAGTTATCTGCCCAAATTAAACAATTTGAGGTATTTTTGATCCAATTTTTCTCGATTTTAGCACAGAAGTCATTCTAAAATAAACTATTTTATAAAAATTATTACTTAAAATTCAAGGCCAAAATAAAGCAATTTGTGCTATTTCAAATCAAGGAACGGCAGTTCCCATCTTTAGACATTAGTTATAACGAATAAATCAACAATTACAAAAAAAGGGAATAAGAAAATTATACTATCTCGATATCTACAAGTATCTTAAAATACGATTTTTTCAGATAAACTAAAATTAAAATAAAAAAAAGAAATTTCATTTTTTAGTAATGTTATACGAGTTGACGCAAACAACCGTACTTGGGTGGTTTTTAGAACTATTTGATTACTCTCAAAATTTCAAAAAAGCACTAATTCTCCTTACGTTCTTAAAATATGCAAATTTTGTATTACATTTTTTAAATTAAGGCCAGTAATTTAGTGTTTTAAATAAAACAGAAACTTGAGAAAACATTGAATAAATCCTAATCAGCAAACATGTCAAAATTTTTTTGCCTCTGTAAATAATGAAACATAAAACCATATCATCGCTTTTGTTAACACCACATAAGCGCGTGGTGTTGTTTTTGAATCACGGTGTATATGGTGGACCTGATAAGGTAGTAATTATTTGAGATTATTAACATTTATGTATTTTATCATTAAATGATTGATTACATACTTATCCAGGTGTCTCATACCAGGTGAATAAAAAGTATGGAACCAAACGTTTTTTTTGCTTAAACTATTTATTTTTCGGAAAAACTAATTGATGATAAAGCACTATAAAAATCTGATATGTTATCAAGAATACAATTTTTGAAAATTTTCTTTTGTTTTTTGAGTTCTACATTTTTTTTTATTTTTTTTTAATTAGCAACCCACTACATATAAAACCATTTTTCTCAGGTTATGATCTAAGGATTACAATTACCTACTTCAAAATTAATTTAAAAAAAATTTTTTTTTACACAAATTGCAATTTTGACAAAAAACACATCTCAAAAATAAAACAAAAATTTATATCTATTAATTATTATTTTCGAGAGGCAAATAACTAAAAAAACCGTTTGCATAATTGCTTGCAGATTTTTTACTGCAATGCAGTTATTTGTAATTTGGTACAGCATTTTCCGAAAAGGGCCAAAAGAATAATTAAAACTTTTGAGTAAATTTATTCAAATTTATTTCGCATTAAAATTGTATTTTCCAAAAATAAAATTTTTAAATTTGTGTTACATTTCTTATCCATCCCACGTAGGGGAAAGTCCTGGTAAATCCAGACGGATCGGTGGATTCGCACCCATTTCCACTGAAAAAGCTTGAAACACCCACATGGGTGGCAGCAGTCCCATCAAGGTATTGAATCAAAGGACCACCGCTATCACCCTAAAACCAAAGAGATTAATTTTGAAAAACCACAAAAATCAGTCTTCTGACATGGCAAGTCCCTTGATTGAAGTTTCCTTCAGCACAAACCATTTCTTCGATGATTTGCTTTCCGTAAGTATTTCGACATTCCTGGTTACTCAAAACGGTTATGCTAACTCTGTGGAGATCAGAAACGTTTCCAGCATCCTCTGAAATTTTTCACATTTAACCAACAAAAAAAATAAAAAATTGAGGTAAACATTTACCATCACTGATTTGTCCCCATCCAAGAGCCACAACAACAGAATAATCGACCAGCGCCGAAGTGGGTAAAAGAATTGGTTGAACGTAATCTGAAAAAAAAGTTTGCCACTTCACCACCAAGAAGAATAATCCTCTCACCGCTATATTCCAGAGGCAATCGCAGCTTAATAAGCGCAATATCATGCTGAAGAGTGAAGGCATCATACTTTGGATACAAATAATATTCTTCAGCGGCTACGGTAATCCTATTGGAGTCGTTAGCATCTTGCAAGTTGTTAGACCCAAGAACGATGGTAAATCGAAGAGCCCCATCGACGCATTGAGCCCCAGTCAAAATCCACTCGTGGCTAAGGAGAGCTCCTGCACAAAAATATTGGCCTGAACTGGTGTGGATGTAAATTCCTGCAGCAAAGGGAAATTCTCCTGCTCGGGCATCGTTACCACCAATGATTCGTCCACCTGAAATAATCTTCAACTAAACACGAACAAAACTTCTTCACCACTTACCAATTTTACTAGAAACTGGTGATGACAAAATGGTTAATATGGATAGGGCAAAAAGTGCAACAAACTTCATTTTGAACGCTGTAATTACTGAATTTTGTCTAAAAGCCTCTTCTTATACTATTTTGTTATCACGCTGTTTTATGATTTAAGCCGCCATATAATTTTTGAAAAAAAAAGAAAAAATGTTTTATGTAACTCAGATAAGCTAGAGGTGCAGTTTTTGTCATCAAATTAAAATTGTGGAAATTTTTGGTGAATTTTGTGACGTCTATTTATTTTAATCGAGATCTAAAAGGGCAAAAATGATACTTTTCGTCCAAACCAAACTTCCTTAATTTCTTTGTTTCAGTGTTTTGAATAAGTAAGTGGAAAAGGCATGTTTTGTAATGGGATTAGTTTAAGATTAAACTGAGTATTATATTGCATTTTATTGATTATTATCGGATGATTTTTTGCGTTTTTTTCAACTTGACTTTATCACGACTCCAGATTAACATCGTTTTAGTTCCATTTTTTTCCTTTTTTTAATCAATTGTCGAATTTTCGTGTCCTGTTTTACGTTTATGTCCTAATTTGTCTCGAACAAACAGACCTAAGTGGGCCGTTTTTAAATTTTTAGCGAAAACGAAATGTGTTACAAATCTCAAGTTAAATATTTTCTTGTATGTTAATCACAAATTAAAAATCGTCATTTCACATGTGAAAAAATTAAGTAGAATTACTTAAAAATCACTTATAATGACCAAATTAAATATTAATTTGGCTTGCATAAGTTTGCATTGTGCAGACCAATGAAAGGGCTTTTAGATTTTTTCATACAAAAAAAAATTAATTAACACAAAACAATAGAAATTAATACTAGGTGAATAAAAAGTTTGGAACCAAACATTTTTTGCTTAAACTATATTTTTTGAAAAAACTAATTGATGAGTGATAAAGTACTATAAAAATGTGATAATTTAGCAACAATAAAATTTTTCGAAATTTCCTTTTGTTTTTGAGTTCTACAAAAAAAAAATTTAATGGCAACCCACTATAAAATCATTTTTCTCATAAAAGCTATACTCTAAGGATTATGTTTACACATAAATTACAAATTTTGGCAAAAAAAATGGCATAACATAACTGAAAATACGGTCACTTTTTTTTATATTACTTCACTTTATATTAATTATTATTTGCTGGAGGCAAATGATTAAAAATAAAACCGCTTGGTTCCATACCCTGTATGTTATTTATAATTAATTAAACAATTTAGATTAGAATCTAAAAATTTTTATTCGTTTTTCATGTCAATATCTTGCATTTTATAACTTTTCTTATTATACAGGGGTGTGCCAGAACTCGCGCCCCAGAGTTAAGATACCAGGAAAATGGAAAAAAAATCTCACTGTCAAAAAGTTTTCACATTTATTTTTTGACATTTGACATTTTTTATGTCTATTTAATAATACAGATGATGTTGTATATGTTTTTTTATAATTATTTAGTAAAGGTACAAAAATTTTGCCAATAAAAGCCACAAATAATATTTGTTACAATTTAGGATACAGCTTCTTTGTTTCCTCTTCTAATAGCCTGTACCAAAAAAAAAAATAGAATTTTTTTTCCAATAGAAGTAAATAGAGTCAAAATGCAAAATTTAAACTCTCATAACTTTAAAATTTTTATAGCTAGAATGTTTTTTTCATGGTATCCCACCTTACATGGCATTTTTCTCTGGGGCACCCTGTATTTAAATTTTTAAACAGTTTAAATGATTTTTACCTTCCTTATCTTATAAGGCAAGTATTGTAATCGACTGAAATTTGGCCTATCCAGATGTTTCACAAATAAGTAGGATAAGCAAAGTCGTGTGATGTTCACACCAGATTTTACTTTATACTATAGATTTCAAAAGCTTTACTAACGCTTTTTATGTATTAATGACTCATATTTTAAAAATAAAAGTTTTAGTTTGGACACTAATAAAGAAACCAACTTCTGAAAATGCAAAATTGGGACATTAATAAAAATAGTTGTAATAATTTTATTACCAATGTAAGAACATAACAAAACAAACCATTTTTCGGCAATGTTTCAGAGGCGTTTTTAATTTTTTGACCACCACTGAAATGTGTTACTTCGACTTCAATTACTTATCTTCAGAAAACAATTCTGGCCCTGTGACATTTATTGTGAAACAACTGACCAATTTTTACCCATAAAACCTAGTAATTTTTTCAAAATTTTATTACTGCCTAAAAATTTATCGAGAACTAAAAGGAAATAAAACGTTTGTGGGCAGTATTTAATTTGTAATCCAAATAAATTGATGTTTATTAAATTACAATTGAGTTACATTTCTTATCCACTCTCTGTACGCAATCGTCCTTGTGAAACCTGAAGGATCAGTAGTTTCGCACCCATTATGGCTTCTAAAACTTGCAATTCCTACATGCACAGCAGTACCACCAACAGTTTGAATTAAAGCCCCACCCATGTCACCCTGAAAGTTTTGTACCATATTATATTTGACCATTTTTCAGGCTTTACTCACGTTACAAATACCCTCATTGTAGTTTCCAGCAGCACAGAGCATATCATTTGTAATCTGCGGACCGTAAGTTAATTGACATTCATCATGAGAAATTGTTGTAAGAGTCACAGAATCAAGATTATTAGAAAGTCCGGTACTAACTGAAAAAAAAAATATTTTTTGATAAAAAAATTCAAATATTACAATCATCGACTTGTCCCCATCCAACAGCAGTGACGGAAATATAATCAGGAGTGAAACTACTAGGCAATGTAATAGCACTAATATATTCTAAAATAAATTTATTAAGCAAAACTTAATACAATTGAAATAACTTACGATTAAACTCAATTGGAAGCCGCAGTTTAATCAATCCAATGTCGTTTTCTAAATTTTCAGGATTATAACTGGGATGAAGGCTGAAACTAGCTGTGGCTAGAGTAACACGATTAGGATCTGTCCCTTCTAGAATATTTGACCCCAGTTGGATTCTAAAGGAAGTAGCCCTAAAATGACCCATTTCAGGAATTGTGGTAAACTATCTAAACCTTCAAACCCATCCACACATTGCCCAGCGGTCAGAACCCACTGATTACTGAGTAAAACACCTCCACAGAAGTAAGTACCTCCAGATTTGGTAACGTAAATTGCCGCCACAAAGGGAAATTGACCAACTCGGGCCTGGCTACCCCCTACAATTCGGGACTTCAAATTACTATTAAAACAACTGTGTTAAAAAATACTCACCCCTTTGGGCAGAGTCAATGCAGGTGGTACACACAACAGAAGGAATGTTAGGAATTTCATGATGAATGATGTTTGAATTTTCGAATTGTAATTTATCCTTCCTGTAATCTAAGAAACGCTTAACTGGATTATTTATCTCCCAAATGAGAGGCAACTGGCTTAGGGGATTCAATTTCACACTAGAAAAATTTAAAATATTTTTATTTCCAACAATTCACAGATAAAAATAATTGTTGTCTAGATGTTTGTGACATTTTTAATCCAATCAAGATAAGAGTATGTCCGTGTAAATCCTGACGGATCTGTACTTTCGCACCCATTTCCGCTATAAAAACTTGCGATTCCGCCAAGAGTCCAATACTTTGTGTTGTCTTTATGTGCAATTAGAGGACCACCGTTGTCGCCCTTGAAATTACAAAATTGTAAACGAGTTTTATTTCCGGAAACTTACAAGACAAATTCCTTCATTGTAATTACCACTGGCACAAACCATTGTGTCTTTGATTTGGTTACCGAAAGTTAACCTACACGCTAAGTTAGATATAACTGACATTTCTACGTACTCTAGACGGTTAGAATATTCCGGATTGGCTAAAAATTAACATTTCGTAAAAACTCCAGAAGAGAAAAATTCTTACAGTCGCTGATTTGACCCCAACCAAGAGCCGTTACAGTAGTGTAATCTTCTAATTCTTCTTTTGGTAGATATACAGGGTTTATGTATACTAAAATAAGTGAAAATTTTGGTGGTAATTTAAATTTTTGTTAATTACTTGTAAAAGTTATGGCCATTCGAAGGCGAATTAGCCCAATGTCATTTTCCAAAGTCTCAGGATTGTATTCCGGATGTAAAACATACTCGCTTGTAGATAAAATAAGAACATTTGAGTCTTCTGATTCTAATCGAACTGTCCCCAAACGAATAGTGAATATTAAAGCACTACAATACAAAGTTGTGGTGTTTTTTTTCAAAATATGTGATAATACTTGTCCACACAACTCCCCGATGTTAAAATCCATTCTTTGTCGATGAGGGAACCTCCACAAAAATGCTTGCTGTTAGCTGTTTGAACCGTGATGGCTGCTACAAATGGGAATTCCCCTACGTCAGCAGTTTCACCATGTATAATACGACCTAAAAAATTTGTTTATCTTTCTTAGGAATCTTGTATTTACTACTTACCAGAAGGGTACCTAAGTTCTCCAGAATGAATTTTCTAAAAATTTCCAGATTATTTTTATTTTGGCAAACATTAGCTTACCTCTGCGCTCAATATAGTGAAAATTGATAAAAATAATAACGCAAGAAAGACCATCTTGGTGTTTGAGGTAATTTTTATTTTTTGGGTCTTAAATATCGTAAATATTTTTATCGCCTGCGTAAATCATGATAAAAGTAGGTATTTTCATAAAGGTGGATTAGCTTTGAAAAGTTTTAACCGGTATTTGCTTCTATTCTATTCTATTCTATTCCTATTCTATTCCTATTCTATTCCTATTCTATTCCTATTCTATTCCTATTCTATTCCTATTCTATTCCTATTCTATTCCTATTCT